GTGGAAGTGGAAGCATTTTAACCATCTCAGTACTGTCTATTTGTTTTCTACAAATTGTGACATAGGCGATCCCAGAAAATAAGGCATCACACACAGCTAATCAGAATCGGCTATGTGACGAAATGAGAACAGCCCTCACTCTAGCTGGCGGGAAAAACACTTTCGCCCGCTTTTTTAATTTTAAAAATTCAATTTTACAACATACATTTGTATTCAAACAATAATCATAATCGTCAACATTTAGGATTTCCGAAATCCTTAGACTTCCCTCCACCCCTCCATGGTTTCCATTATCGCACTTTTTTCTGCTGTGTCATATAGTTTCTCCATTTTTCTTAAAATAGTCCATTTTTACCCTTTTAATACATTACAAGTGTTACTCAAATCCTGGCGAAGTTTTTAGTTGTTTACAGTGTTCTCTTAGATAATTTATGAATTTTTCCCATTCTTTATTAAAGTTTCCATCTTCTTGGTTTCTGATTTTCCCAGTCATTTTCACCATTTCGGCGTAGTCCATCAACTTTACAAACCATTCATCTCTGTTCAGGACTTTATCTTCTTTCCATCTCTGGGCCGGTAGTATCCGCGCTGCTGTCATCATACATCATACATAAACAATTTTCTACTCCTTTGGTATTTCTGCATCTAAATTTCCTAGTAAAAAAGCTTCTGGTTTTTTCATAAACGTTATTTTAAACTTTTATTTAACTCATTATACAGTTGTACCTCGGGTTACATACGCTTCAGGTTACATACGCTTCAGGTTACAGACTCTGCTAACCCAGAAATATTACCTCGGGTTAAGAACTTTGCTTCAGGATGAGAACAGAAATCGTGCTCCGGTGGCACAGCGGCAGCAGCAGGAGGCCCCATTAGCTAAAGTGGTGCTTCAGGTTAAGAACAGTTTCAGGTTAAGAACGGACCTCCAGAACGAATTAAGTACTTAACCCGAGATACCACTGTATATCATTTCCCAGAATGTCTTTGTTATTTTGCATGTTCTCCACATATAGTAGAACGTGCCTTCCTTTTCCTTACACTTCCAACATTTGAAGAAATGCTATACATTTTTGCTAATTTTATAGCTGTTAAATACCAGCGATATACATCATTTTCGTATACAGTGGTGCCTCGCAAGATGAAATTAATCCGTTCTGCGAGTCTCTTCGTCTTGCGGTTTTTTCGTCTTGTGAAGCACGGCTATTAGCGGCTTAGCGGCTATTAACGGCTTAGCGGCTTTAAGAAAAAGGAAACAAACTCGCAAGAACTCGCAAGACGTTTTGTCTTGCGAAGCAAGCCCATAGGAAAATTCGTCTTGCGGAACGACTCAAAAAACGCAAAACCCTTTCGTCTAGCAAGTTTTTCGTCTTGCGAGGCATTCGTCTTGCGGGGCACCACTGTAGTTTTTCTTCAACGCACAGCATGCTGTAAATTTTAAATCCTCCCTCCATAACTTTTCCCAAGATGAAAACTGAATATTATTGCCCAATATCTTTTGCCCATTGTATCATCACCGATTTAACTTCTTCATCTTTAGTATGCCATCCTAGCAACAACTTATACATTTTGGAAAGTAGCTTCACATTGTTTTCCAACTGGGGGGAAAGAAAAACACTTTCACCCTCTTTTCAATCAATGCATTTGGTACCAATAAATAAATAAATTGTGGAGGGCGCTCCTGTCTGCATTGCTAAGCATCGCCAGGAAAAGTGACCCCCGCCATATGACTTCCACTTGCTTGCAATGCGATTATACGAGACAGACAGTCTCCCGGCTTCACATTTCGGACATCAGCAGAAGACAGGTGTGCCAATGAACAGGCTGCTCCCGCAACTTTTCTTTATATTTTTTAAAAAAGAATATTGCAGGCTGTCAGAAGCAATTGCAATAAAATCAAATATAATATGCTATTTTAAAAGGATTGAAACATCTTCATTACAGCAACCAAAGGAAGCAGTTATGGTGCAGTAGCTAATCAATCACCCTTTATTTCACAGAGCATGAAAACTGCTTTATAATACAGGGGACAGTGATTTACTCCAGTTCAAAGGGCAAAATCATCATCATCATCATCAAACCTTTATTGGCATCACATGGCAAAATCTCAAGTGCTCAAGGAATTCAAGAATCTACCCTATTTGTGGATTAGCTACATACGCCTATTTCTGCCTGCCGTTTCCTCTTTCCTGGGTAATAATAATAATCATAATAATTTTATTATTTATACAGCGCTCATCTGACCGGGTGGCCCCAGCCAACCTGGGCAGCTCCCAACAAAATATAAGGTGTGACTGGAAAGTAGGGTGAATCACCGCTGTATGTGATAATGGGAACTGCCGGATTTGCAGAGACACGAGGGAGGCGTTCGTCCCTATCTTAGCTAACGTATGTGCATGTGTCTCGGCATTTGTTGACAGGCCTACGTTCATGCGATAGCATTTAGTAGCTGTTAATAGTGCAGTGTGTTGTGATTGAAAATGGAGCAGAGAGTCGATATGAAATTCTGTTTCAAACTGGGTAAATCGGCATCGGAAACCCACGAAATGCTGACAGTTGTGTACAGAGATGAAGCTGCAACTCGAAAGACAGCGTATGAGTGGCTTCAGCGTTTCTGTGAAGGGCGGCAAACCATCGAAGATGATCCTCAGTCTGGCAGACCATCAACGAGCAGAACAGTGGCAAATGTCGACAGAGATCATGAGTTATTGATGTGGGATTGGCGTTTGTCCGTCCCAACGGTGGTGGAAGAATTGCACATTCCACGTGAAATCATTACTGAGGTTACTGAGTTGTCCCACTGTCCTGGTCCCAGGGGGTTACCGTGCGGCATGGTCTGAGTCCAGTCCTAGGTCGAGGGTGCGGTATGGAGGCTGTCCGTCAAGGCTGAAGCGGGGTCCAAGACAAGGAGTCAGGTAAGGTCAGGAACTCTGGCAGAAGAGCAGGACAGGGTGCCGGAAGGAACAGGCTACCAGCAATGTTGCTCCCGCAACCTGGGACTGGGGCTGGCTGGCTTTTATCTGCCCCGAGGCATAGGGCGGCCCCGGTCCACAGGTGACTCACCTCTCCTGGCCTGGAGGCAAGCACTCCTCCTGCAGGAACTTAGTTCCCTCCGCCTCTCTGCCCTGAGCCTCTGCAGCTCAGGAGAGGCTGGAGGGTTACCGGACCCAGAGGCAACCTCCTCTTCCCCTGACGGGGCTGAGAGTGGAGCACCTGCAGGCAATGGGTCCTCGATCACCTCTGAAGCCAGAGCGGATTCAGCTGGTGTCTGCTCCTGAGGATCCGGCACAGGTGAGGACCCTTCAGGTTCAAGCCCCAGCCCCGGCTCAGCTGGTCCTGGAGGCGGGGAATCCTGTGCAGGCTGGCATTCCTCAGGTTCAGCCTCTGAATCCGATTCCCAGGCCATCACACCCACCCCCCATATTCTCCCAATCTGGCCCCACTGGATTTCTTTCCCCTCCAAACTGAAATCTGCAGTGAAAGGGCACAGATTTTCCAACATTTCACACGTCCAAGCTACTGTGATGAGGGAACTGACAGCTGTACGAGAAGATGACTTCTCCAGAAGTTTCCAACAGTTCTACAAACGTTGTCAACGGTGCATTGTATCAGAGGGAGTCTACTTTGAAGGCCTGTAAGGTATGTATGTTCAAATATTTCTCGCTGTCCGATTTCTGTGACCATTCACCAAACTTTCTGGTCACACCTTGTATTAAAAGCACAATGGGGAAAAAAACCTGCCATTAAAAACTTCCCTGAACAGGACTGCCTTCCAATACAATATTCAACAGCAGTGAAGATCTTGATGGCTCATTGCCGGCAAGATCAGCTGCCTTCGATGTTTTATGCTCACAGGCAGGATTAAAAAAATGTTCCACATTAATAAATAAAGGTTATTGATATGGAAGAAAATGATAATTCCTTAACAGAAATATTTCAGCAAATTTCCAAACAAGAGCTTTTCATAGCTGAATAATGTTTGGACAATTCCTGCTGATTCCAGTGTCTTAACTTCACCCCATCAAAACAATAGAATCATAGAAGCAATGCTTTTTTTTCTGGGGGGGCGCAGGGGTATGCACACCCCTAAACATTTTGTGAATCTTTGTACTTTGGTCCATTTACTGTATTTATTTCCCCTGATTTGAATTATAAAATGGTGGTTTTCTTGAGTCAAAAGGAGAGTACCCCTATACTCCCTAAACCCGGGAGGTGTGCATTTCATATTGTATTTAAAAGGAGATTGGGGTGGTTCTCTTAGAAATCAGGATAATCTGAAACGGAGATATGAATATGAACCAAGTGTAGGGGCAATTTATCCAGAAGATAATTGTATTTCAAGGAGATAAGTGATCTGACATGGTCTTCTCTTCCTGCTCCTGTTTACTTCCCCTCTATCTGTTGTTCTACTCTTTGATGGCTGAGAGCAGCCTTTAATGTCTAATCTGGTGGAAGGAAGACCCGATAATGCAGGGTACCTTCTGACCTTCTTTGATGTTAGACATTGTTTGGAGGAACGTGCGATATTGGAAGAGGGGGCTAGCTAATGAATAATCTGCACATGGGAAGTTGGGCAAGCCATACATGCTATCAGTAATCTATAAATGAGATGATTTTGAGGCATAGCTCAGATGCTCGTGTACGAACTCATGGCCAGGGGGTCGTACAACCTGAGGCTACCTGGGGGTCACTTTGCCACTTCTTGAGGGCAGATTGAAGTGCCTGCTTGGTACTGTATATAACGGTTGCTGTTTAGAATAAAATCTTTAATTTTCTCACTCACTTGTGTTTGTATTGCTTCTGAATCTCATAAAAAGAACCACCTCACATTTGGCAAGACACAGAGATGTTTCAACAAGATGTTTCAGACAGACTATTAGGTGCCTCAAAGTTCTCAAGAACTTTGAAGACTGAGGAGCAGTGCCCAGGTAGGTGGGTTGTCAAGGTAACAGTGACCTGCCCTCCTTTGTGACATCTTTTTGAATGTCACAAACCAGAGGTGTCCAGTCCAGGAGTCAGGAGTGGTAGGAGCAGTGAGAGTGAGTGTCCATGGGCGTGTGGGAGAGGAGAAGAGGATTTATATTTTGTTTTGGTATTTACACATTTTCATTCATCTTTTTATTTAATGCTTCCCATAGCCTTGTATATTTTTAGACTGATATTTAGGGGTAGGGGTTGGAGTAGCTTAGGTGGGCTTTACAGAGGTAGAAAACATAGGTTTTCGTTGTGTGTTTTAAATTACCTTTCTACAGAGAAACTTCATAATGTTAAAAATGTAGGTAGGATTTCTTCTGCTGCTAACTCAAAACTTGGCATGAGGGGACTGGGGTCACCCATATTGCCTCGTCTCTCTTGAAGGTCACCAGTTGCTCCCCTGTGATGCTGAGTCCAGACTTCATTTCATGCAGAGCTTTCTAAACTGTGTGTTGCGACACCTGCAGTGTGTATAGGTGTGTCGTGCAAATGCCTGCTTGCTCCTCCTGGGGCTGGAAATGGGTTAGTTTAACCTCCAGTTTGCTAGTGAATCTGAATTACTGTGCCACCAAATGATGTATATCTTAAAAGTGTGTCACCAACATGAAAAGTTTGGAAAGCTCTGACTTAATGATTCACACGAGGCCTATCTTCACTCCCTACTGAGCTACAGAGACCAGTAGAATTACAATGGTACTGTGGATTTCAAACGCCTTGGTACTCAAACAACGTGGAACCCAAACACTGCAAACCTGGAAGCAAGTGTTCCAGTTTGCGAACATTTTTTGGAAGCCAAACATACTCCGTTTTGAGTGTTACACTTCTGATTTGAGTGCCACACTTCCATTTTGAGTGTTTGGCTGAGGTCTGTCTGCTTTTGCTATTTTGCGTTTTGGCTTTTGTGGCTCTGTGTGTGTGTGTGTGTGTGTGTGTGTGTGTGTGAGACTGTGTGGAACCCAGCTCAGCTGCTGGTTGATTGATTGTGTGACTGCAGTACATTATTTATTGCTTTCGTTTTATGGATCAATGGTCTCATTAGATAGTAAAATTCATGTTAAATTGTTGTTTTAGGGGTTATTTTTAAAAGTCTGGAACAGAATACAGTCATACCTCATGTTACGTTTCAGGTTGAGCATTTTCAGGTTGCGCCCCGTGGCAACCCGGAAGTACCGGAAAGGGTTACTTCCATGTTTCGCCTCTCGTGCATGCGCAGATGCATAAAATGACGTCACGCGCATGCGCAGAAGCAGCGAATCGCAACCTTGGTTTTGGAACGCTTTTGTTTTGGAACGGACTTCCGGAACTGGCAGCCTGCCGGCTTAGGTAATCAGCACTCAGTAGTTGTATTTACAAGAAGATTTATAATACACAGTAATTAACCTCAGAGTTAATATTAGCGGCTGTATTATCACAATGAAGTTGAGGCATCTGAGCTCAAATTACGCCACCAACAGGAAACACATAATCCCCACCCCCTTCTTCTTCGATTGACACCTTTTCTTAACCTTTGTTTGTCTGCACGCCCTCAGACTCTTGGGGTCAACTCCGACCTCTTCCTCTGACGAAGAGTTTTCCCTCCCCATAAGGTGACTAACAGTTGCTCCTCAGAGAATTGGCCACTGTCCAGTCCACTCTTGCTGTACTGATAAAGTACAGTCTCTCCTCCTCCTGAAAGGGTTGGGGGTTTTCTAGCCCACTGCCTTCAGCTCACTGAGAAAGAGGCAGGTCTATTTCTTCCTCTTCTGACTGACTGCCCCCTCACTCATCCTGCTCATCTTGACTGTGGGAAGCCATGTCCATGACAGGAACTGATTAAGTTTGAGAACCAAGATACCACTGTATCTCGCTATCTTTTTATTTGAGATGTAGACAAGACATGTGGTGCCAAAATCCCAATGGAGCAGAAAATATTATTTATGTATGTGACCACATCTGCGCAGACGTTATTGGCCCAGAGATGGAAAGAAGATAAAGTCCCTACCAGAGAAGAATGGCAGATCAAGTGGATGGATTATGCCAAAATGGCAAAACTCACTGGAAGAATCAGAAACCAGGAAGACCAAAATCTTAAGAAGGAATGGGGGAAATTTATAATTTATCTTAAAAATAATTGTAAACAGTTAGAATCATTAGCAGGATTGGAGTAACACTTGTAGTTTAATTGTGAATTTTGGATATAATGGAGATGTAAAAGATTTGGATTATTATAAAAGATGCAGGAGGAAATGAGTAACAATAGGACCCACAAAGGGGAGGAGGGAAGTCCAGGAGATTCTTTGGAATCTTGTTTTTATGATGTATGTTGGATATGTGATTGTAAAACTTTAATTTGAAAAACCAAATAAACATTTTTTTTTAAATTGATGATGGTGATCAGGGAAGAAAAATGTTAATTGCTGCTATTTCAAGAAGACCCCTTTCAGAACCTCAGAGTCTGAGATTAGCTGCACCACTGTCTGGTGTCAGCACTTTCCCAAAAATTAGTGACCCCCCCCCACACAAGCAACAAGCACAGGGCATGAGCCTCTTAATCTGAGTTGTGGGTTCGATCCCCACATTGGGCAAAATATCTCTGTATTGCAAGGGGTGAGACTGGATGGCCTTCAGGGCCCCTTTCAACTCTACAGTTCTCTGATTCTGTGAAAACTTCATTGGGACTTGATGGGCCATTGGCTTGATCCAGCAGGTGCTTCTTAACCTGTTTATGTTCCGTGTATCCCTAAGGACTATAGCAATACACCTGCTGTTACTTTTAGCTGAAATGGACAGTGTATATTTTCCCATGAAGCATAGTGCCAAAAGAACTAAGATTCTTCCTGTTTCAGCCAACTCCTTTGTCTTGCTTGAACAAATTTTGCTTGGATTGTTCCAGCTTTTCCCGTGATAAATCTTGATGTGATATCCATGATATCCAAATAACATAACTAACAGGAGCCGAGGGAATGGAAACGATGATTGCTTCCTTCCTGCTGCAAGAGAGGAAAGTACTAATTGCTCCTCATGGGATACAAATGGTTCCCTGCTCAAAGATGTTATTTAGGATATTGTACAGTTGTTGTACTTCTTCAGTGGCGAAATCACAGCCAACCTCCCCACCCAGAACCCACTCCCAGCATTGTTTAATATCTAGCCTGGTGAAGAATTCTGGAGCATCTGAAAGTTTGCACGCTATTTTGTGACATTTTCCTTGCCTGAAAAACATGTTGCCTTACCATGGATTGATGGATAAACATGGCTACCTTCTGAATTTGAAAGGAAAGAATTGATAGTGAGACAGCTATGAGCACAAAGCTTTCTACCAGAATGTCAGAGGACTTCTGGTGGCACTAATGAGCAGCAGTTTTCAGATATCTGACTGTCAAAAAGAAGATGCAGCAGAATTTTTCATAGATGCTCCAGAGGGCAGAACTAAAGCCAAGGTGTGGATATGGATGGAAAGCAGATAATGGCTAAGGATTAGGAGGCACTTCATAACAGCAAGAGTGTTTGGAGTAGAAGTGATGAGTTCTCCTCGATGGGATCAGAGGCTTGTCAACCATCTAGCCTGAATTTTTCAGGAAAATCTGGGTGACCTCCCAGGTCTCTTCTATAATGTGTTATCCTGCCAACAGAGCTCTAGCTCCATCTGCAAAGCAGCACCTATGCTACTCACAGGTAAGTAATTGCTACCAAGGACGCCTCTTGGGCTTGCCGATCAGAAGGTCGGCAGTTCAAATCCCCATGACAGAGTGAGCTCCTGTTGCTCTGTCCCAGCTCCTGCCAACCTAGCAGTTTGAAAGCACACCAGTGCAAGTAGATAAATAAGTACTACTGTGGTGGGGAAGGTAAACGGTGTTTCCATGTGCTCTGGTTTCTGTCACAGTGTCCTGTTGTGTCAGAAGCAGTTTAGTCCTGCTGGCCACATGACCTGGAAAGCTGTCTGCAGACAAAGGCCAGCTCCCTCGGCCTGAAAGCGAGATGAGTGCCGCAACCCCATAGTCACCTTTGACTGGACTTAACTGTCCAGGGGGCCCTTTACCTTTACCTAAGTAATTGCTCCTTTAATCTCCCCTTTTTGCGGTAACATGTTTTGAATGAACATCCAGGATTCGAATCTTTCCCCTTTCCAAACAAAACTTGTGACCGTTCCATGTCGCGGGAAGAATTGCCTCATGGACTTGAGCACAACGGAATTTAATTAAAATGCCTCTAGGTAAATTCAGCCTTTTTTTGCCCTCGCTCATTTCTGCCTGCTCAGTCTCTGTGGCACAACGGTCACGAAGGCCCAAGAAGATTTTAATTTTTCTTCTAAGAATATATTCAAGCCATCATTATGATCTCCCTCTGGCAAGTTCCTTAGCTTAACATGGTTCCTTCTAATTTTCCAACCTCTTTCTTTTGCATCTCTTCCTTTCTTGTTTGCTTACTCGCTTGAATTTATTGTATTGCTACAGAATGTGTTTTCTTTCTTTAACTCTAAGATGCTTTAGATAAAGGAGGTCAAGCCTCCCTTAATTTGCCACTCTACCTAGAGACCCATTTCATGAATTGTATTCCCTTTCCTTGCTAGAGTTCTTTCTCATAGTTGCACTTGAGGCTCAACCTTTTGCTGACCTTTAAGGTTTCTTCCATTTTTCTCCCTTACCTAGAATTGTAGAATTGGAAGGGACCCCAAGGGTCATCGAGTCCAACCTCTGCTATGCAAGAATCTCAGCTAAAGCATCCCTGACAGATGACCACACAACCTTTGCTTGAAAACCTCCAAGGAAGGAAAGTCTACCACCTCAAGAAGGCATCTGTTCCTCTGTTGAGCAGCTCTTACTGTCAGAAAGTATTTCCTGATGTTTAGTCAGAATCTCATTTCTTGTAATCTGAATCAATTGGTTCAGATCTGAGCCTCTATGCCCATCCTTCATGTGACAGCCCCTTAGATATTTGAAGATGGCTATCATATCTCTTCTCAGTCTCCTCTCCTCCAGGCTAAACGTACCCAGTTCCTTCAAGCGCTCCTCATAAGACATCGTTTCAAGACCCTTGATCATCTTGGTTGCCCTCCTCTGCACACATTCCAGGTTGTCAACATCTTTCTTAAATGGTGGTGCCCAGAATTGGACACAATATTCCCAGTGTGGTCTGACCAAGGCAGAATAGAGCGGTACTAATACTTCCCTTGATCTGGACCCTAAACTTCTGTTGATGCAGCCTAGAACAGCATTAGCTTTTTTGGTTCAGCATCAGACTGTTGAGACATGTCAAGCTCATGGTCTACTAAGACCCCCTAGATCCTTTTCACAAGTACTGCTGGCAATTCAGGTATCCCCTATCTTATATCTGCGCAACTGTTTTTTCCTGCCTAAGTGTAGACTCTTACATTTGTCCCTATTACAAATTCATTTTGTAAGTTTTTGTCTAATGTTGGATAGCACCCACTATGTGCCTTTTCACAATTTGATCATTATTTTCCCCAAAAAGGGTCTTCTGAAACTTGCTTGCTGCAAATTTTTAAATATTTGTTCCTATCAACTGCCTCCCCGAGGCATCCAAAATACCATGTCTGGTCTTGCAGTGAAAGCAGTATTTTCTGCCTAAGATAATGGATGGAAAACCGCTAGGAATATAAATGACCTATGATTCATGAAACATGAGTTCTTTGCATGGTTTTGGGTTGACATCAGCATAGAGCAGAATTCTGGTGCCCTTAATGGCTATTAGTTTTTGTAGAATGTTTTTATATATAAAAAGAAATGAATTTACTTTAACCCCTATAGATTATCTGCTTCTCTGGTATAGCATTTCCTTGATTAATCACTCTTCTCCCCCAATCTCTTTCTTTGCAGATTTCCTGTCTAGAATTCTGCCTTCCTATGTGTTTAGCATTCCTTATCTGGAAGCATGAGTACAGGCTCCAAATCAGCTCCCGCTACTCATATCCACCAAGAAGCAACGCAGTAAGACAGACCCCGAAGGAACAAGTCCTGATCCTGCCCCCGTAACAAGCAAAATTAATCACCGAGCAAAGCACCACGACTATCGAGTCTGAAACCTGCCGGCTCCCTCGGACTCATTTGTAACTGCTGTGTTAAACTGGGCTTTTTGAACATAGGATCTAATGCAGGCGTTTGAACAGCGCTGTCTGGCCAGGTGACAAACCAAGCTCCCAAGACCCTAATTCCATCAGCTGGGATGTTTCAAATTATGAAAGGTTTGCAATACATATTCAGTAAACAGAGCACTTGTCTTGTCACAATGATGCAGTATTCCGCATTGTTTGTCTAAGTGGCTTGGCTATGGCTTCCATATAAGAGGGCTGCTGTCAGTTGTGTTCGGCTGAAAAATGAGAATGCAAGGGTCAAATATGACATGATGGAGCAGCAGCTAGGAGTATTCATTCCCATGACTGCTCCATTCACACAAGGGGGGGGTATTCTTTATGAGGCAGAGAGCAAAAGCTGTCCCTTCCCAACATTACCTCACCCTACTTGGATCAGTTTCCTCACAGTATTTAATGGCTGGT